CACTCAACTAAACACTACCCAACTTATACTCTTACCGTGTACTTACACTACCCCTTTCTCCTATTTTCTTCATTCAACTAACTTTTGCCTATCTCACAGCACTTCATATCTTCTCTTTGCCATCTACACTTACATACCACTCATTAGTAACCTCTCTCTTCCTTTCATTCTTTTCTCCTCCAATTTCTCAAGGTCACCCATCACTCTTCTTTCCAAGCCTAACAGGTGGTGCTCCTCCTGCCTCCCTGCTGCAAGTGGAGGTCCACCATGGAAACGGCGATTTCGTCTCCAGTACAACCAAGTCCTTCCACTCCAATCGCTGGATGCACTCTCAGGCTGCTGCATCACTGTCGGATGGACCTCTGCATCTCACAGCACACATCATCAACCATGGAAAGACATCAACACATGGAAGAAGTGGTGAATCCTTGTTGGAACAGAATACAGGCTGCTACTAGCATATTTTTGCACACAAATTATTCACCGTCATAACAATTCCGGAACTCTTGATGTGATTATGAACAAAACCAGAACGGATCTCGAACCGGAGTTTGAATCGGAGAAATTGTTGATGTAATCGAGGCCATGAGCGACGTCGGAGGCGATCTGCATCCTAGAGGTCCACGTGACGAGATCAGTGTAGCTAGAGTTCCGGCGGTTAAGGAGACAGTGGGCGAGGCTGGCGTCGGGGAAAAATTCGGAAACAAGAAAGACGGAGTTGCTGGAGATAGAGGCACCGAGAGGAGCTTGACGAGGCTGCTGTGGTGACTCCGATAGATGATGGCAGCTAAGCTCCGGGAGGTCGATTTGTTGGCAAAAGTTGCGGCGAGAAACACCAACATCGCGACGACAGATTTGGCAGCACCAGGATGAGGAAGAGAGGCGTGGGCAGATAATAATGTACAGAGGGCACATATGTCATTTGTGAGCAAATCAGCGTAAATCTCCTCTTAATATAGAGATGAAAAAAAGAGCCTCGTCTCGCAAATCATCGCTTTTCTTCGCTCACAAATCAGCACAAATCAACGCAAACGAACAACTCCTGCTTTGTAAATCATCGCTTTCTTTTCTTTATAAATAGTGTTTCACCTTCAAATGAAAAGAGGCTTAGTGTTACAGAAAAGTTGATACGAATAACAAATTTATGCATTGATGTGAATTTTTACGAAATATTTGCGTTTCTTAAAATTCAAACTATTTGTTTAATATTATTATGTTATTTATTTCATTATATTTTTAAAATATAGTTTGCATGAAAAGTGAAAAGAAAAATCCAAAAATTGTCTAATTTTTTTTTAATTTTGTTTTTCGAAACTTTCTTTTTATTAAATTTAACTTCCTAAATTTCATAGTTGGAAGCACAAGGTACATATA